AGGCCAAAACTATATGTATCAAATTTGGAAAATTTTATATGTAACATATAAAAATCACATGATTTTTAAAAGCTTAATTCGTGTTCCGTGAAACAAGTAGTGAAATTTGCCGATCATCATTAAATTTTTTGGTGATAATAAATATTAGTATTTTCAAAAAATTTGAGAATCTCACTTTTCTTAATAACATTTTTTCATATATTAAGTAAAAAAATTTAAAATAATGGGTAGAAGTAAAGATTATCCTGTTTCTCTAATTTCAGTTGGCTCTTTAAAAGAGAATTTACATTTTGGTGACTTTTCTCAAAATTGGTGGGAAACTAGACAAAGCAATAATTCAAATGATATTGACAGTATTTCTATTTTATATCCTATTCGTATTGGCATGGAAACAATGGTTATTCTTAATGAGACACGATTTTTTATTACTGTAGTTCAAGGTTGTGAAGGTTCATTATACCAACCTGGATATATATGTGAAGTTAATGGTAAAAAAAGTGAAGTTTTTAGTAATTCTTCAGCTGCTATAACTAACATTTATCAGGAACTTTTTAGCAGTAAATCAAAATTTTCTGGTCCTCTTATAATGGGACATAATAAACCAGAAATTAATGAACAAATTCTTGCAAACATAACTTTCTATCCATTTAATTGTATGTTTTCAAACATAAAATTATTTGTATATGGAATAGGTGCATTTACAAAGGATCATCTAGGTAATACAGGTCCAGGTTTCAAATCATCTTTTGTTTATTTAGTTGGAGCCAAAAAAATAAGGACTTTATTTGTTCAAGAAATTAATGAGAAGAACTCCAGTGTAAAAATGTATCAAAATTATAATTTAGTGTTCACATATATTGGTAATAGTCCTAATGATGTATGGGAGAAAGTTGGCATACTTTCACAGCATGAAGGAATAGATTTATTTGGTATAACAAGCCCTCAAGTTCAATCTTATATTCAAAAAATTCGTGTACCTAAATGTCTTCCTGAGGAATGGATTATAGAAGAAAAAATGAAATCTCTATGGGAATATCATTTATGACGATTCACATTAGCTTCAACACCATGGAATGAATTTTTTACTAAATGGTACCATGAAACGAAGACCATAATTGAAATTACTGCTGCTTTAAAAGCAATATATCCATCAACTCATTCATTTAATGAAAGAGAAATGCGAGCTTGGAGGACAATGTTGACTCATGCTGGATGTACAAATATAACACCTTTTAATAAAGATGCATCACCAGTAAGTCATATATAATAATCAATGCATTTTTCATGCTTGAAATAAATTTCTGTTACTCATTATTATTTATGCTGGTAGCATGAATTTTGGACAAAATCCAGCAATCCAGAAGCTGATTGCAAAAACTTACAGTTTTTATATGATTCAGCATTTTTGAAACCAATTCCTAAACAGTATTGTAGTGATGGTGATGTTTTTTGGGATAGTTTTCAACAATCATTGCAAGCTAATGCAAAGGGATATAATGGAAAAAGAAGAATTCTATCTATAATAGCAGAAAAATTTCCATATAAAATTTTGACAGAGAAATTGAAAGTAAGTATTAGGATATAAAATTCAATCATCAATTAAAACTTATTTTTATAATTATAATAGGTGGCTTCTAATACAGTTAATGAAGCAAAAAAATATGCACGAATTAATGGTCCTGGCTGTGCAGTAACTGAAAGACCTATTAGAAAAATCAAAAAAATTACTTATGAACAAGAAGATCAATTCAATTCCTTTTTTCAAGATAAAGCCCATGTTATAATGAGCTCTTATAAAACTGATGCCAAAACAGGAGAACCAGTAGTTTACCTAAAAAATACAAAAGGGGCATTATGGGAAAAATTTAAATATAGTTTTCCCAATGGCATTAAAAAAACAACTTTCTACACCAAGCTAATGGGCAATCGATATGTTTATCGTGAAGATCTTGGGGGCTTGTGTTCCATATGTAGCTCATATGGATATGAAACATTTGAAAACATTATGAACCTGATAAAAGAAAAAGTAAATAATATGGAATTACAGGTATTAATTAAAATATATGAAATGTGATATATAATAATCCACTAAATAATATTTCAATTAAATTAAAGAATGCCTTCCACTTACGTTGCCAATCATTACAACGATACTTAAAAAAAAAATATGAAGAACATTTAGTGGTTACAGATCATGGAATAACTTCCCATGACCTGTGCATAAATCATTGCCTATTATATGCCTTTGGTGAGTATAATGTTCCTCATACCCATACCTGCAATAAATGTCAAGAAGTATTCAAGCTTTTTGAAGATTTAAAAACAAATCTGAATACTTATTATGATGAAATCCAAGAATATCAAGATCGCCTGCTTTATTATATTGCACACCAGACCAGGAAAGTCTATTTGAATGCACAATTTAATGCTTCACTTTTAGATCTGGATGAAGATGGGGCAGTATTAGTAGTAGACTATAAGATGAAAATACTACCCAAAACCTCACGTGAGACAAAACAAGAATTTTTTGGAAAAAAAGGCTGGACCTTACATACAGTCTTGTTGTATACCAAATCCAATGAAAGTTCTAAAATCAATGTGGAAGCAATAGATCATTGGTCTACTGATGCTCATCAGGATGCATGGTTTACTGCATCTTCATTGCATTCTGTAATGGAAAATTTGGAAATAAAGCCAAAATGGGTAAGTATAATCTCTGATAATGGCCCACACTATCATAACTCAGAACTCATGATTATAATGAGTAAATGGAATGAGTGGTATGGAATTCATGTAAAAAAATGGATATTCTTGGAAGCAGGAGAAGCTAAAACAGCAGTGGATTCTCACCATGCTCAGGTTTGAATTATAAAGTAAGAAAAGAATTCATTACCTTTAAATATTTCTAATGGTGATTTATTAGATATCACTCGCAATTAAACGGTATGTTCAAGTTGGTGGAGAAATTCAGGAAGGAAATGATATTACTTCAGCTATTGAAAATACTGCTGGAACTTCAGTTGCTCATATTGAGCTCAATCGTGGTAAATTTTTAATTATAAAAGATAAAAAAAAAAAATAAAAATATAAAGTGTTATAGATGAAGTTAATAAATATTTACATCAGCTAATTACACCAAAAAAACAATAAAATTATACTTAGATAATAGAAAAGAAAAAACTATGACAATTCCTGGAATATCTAATTGGTTTGAATGGAATTGGCCCACAGAAGGTGAAAATGCAGGATATATTCAAGCACGAGGAATTCCAAATATTGGAAGATGGACAACATTTTCTCCTGCACAAATTCAAAATATTACAAAAAATGAGATTCGTCAACCATCACCCCAAGTTTCTGAACCAACTAAACCAAAATCTCCTTGGAAAATACCTCTCCCACATGCATCAGGTAATTAAAGTATATCACTTGAATAACCCAAATTCATTTCTAAAAATTTTGTTGAAATATTAGGAATCTGTCCAAAAAGATTAGCATTACCAAAATTAAAAAATGAGTTGACAAGTCGAGGAATTGTATATGATAATCAAAATAAAAGGCAAAAGCTAATAGAAATTTTGGATAAAGAATTGAGTCAAGAAACTTTAGCAAATGTGGAAGGTAATAATATATGTTCATGATATTTTTAAATGTTGTAAATTTTACTAACCTAGTTTTAGGCTTGCCTTTGAGAAATCGAAGCATGGTTCATCAGGAACAAGAAATAAGGTAAGATTAGGCAAATAATATTTTTTTGTTTTATAATAATAAATATATATATAATAAGAGATATAATTAAATGCTTTACATATCACAGCCCATTAGAATTGTCCGAGTTTCCACTAGTAGGTGGTTGGGCATTGAAAGAAGTCCAAAAATATGGGAAGAAAGGTGGTGGTAAACGTATGCCAAAAAGAATCATTCTCATCTTAGAACAATGTTTTTTGACAGGAAATATTGACAAGAGTTATCGAATGAGTCCTCAAGAAATGTTGGATGTTTTGAAATCGAAAGTAGAAGAAGGAGAAATTGAGAATTCAGATTTACCAAAATTACCGACTATACAAGGATGGATAACTAGATATTCAGCACAGTTACGTGAGAAAAATGCCCAAACAACACTTGGAGTCAGTAATTGAAAAACTCCTATAAAATTTACTTTATTATTTAAAAAATTTATATAATATATATATTAGATCTAAAAAAATATATATACCTTCAATAAAAAATTTCTTTTAAATTTATATATAAAATTTCTTTTAATTCTATTTATAAAATTTTTTAAATTTCGAATTTATATAATAAATTTAAGCGGGAATCCAGCTTGGCGTCATATAGAAGTAAAAATAATCCATAAGAAAAAAATTTAAAAATTTGATATATTAAATCCTTGAGATTTTATGCACGTATTACAAGTATAATTGTTGTTTCTAAACCCATATATAGGAGGTTACCTTAGGACTAAAACTTGGGCTTCGGAAAAAATCAATTAATGATCAGCAAAATTTAGCACCAAAATCGACTATTAATTTTCTCTACTTGTTTCACGGAACACGAATTAAGGCTCCTGAACCAAGCAATTTTTTTTTATTATCTCGATGATAGATTGTAGAGCTGGTCAAAAGCTATAAAATATCGTCTTTATTTTTTTGAGATAACCATTCAGTATTTCCTTTTTAGGTTTTAAAATTAGTCCATTTTTATGTGATGGCTTATGATGTTACGCACTGTACATAGTAAAAAATGAGGGAAAATTGACACAAAAACAACTAATTGAGTACCTTTGCATGAAAAGTTGTACTATGTTTTTGTTCCACCACATAATTTTTTTTTACATCCACAAACAAAACAAATCCCAAAGAACATATTATCAGTTTTTTTTTTGTCTTTACTTAAGTAAAAAAAAAAGTTTACTCTTTAGCACCTGTAGATTTTCAAGAATTTTCATATAAAAATTTTTACATGTTCCGTGTAATGGTAGTATTTATTTATTAAAAACATATGATTTATTGCCTTTAAAAATAAGAACAAATAAAGAAAAAAAATTTTTTCTTATTAATTAGATGATGAATTTTCAACCGTCTGCTTTTTGTGATGTTGACTAAATTGGGATATCCATGACTTAATTTGTTGAAGAGAAGGAATATTTTCAGCTTCTAATTCGTCAGTTTCAACAAGCCTTTGA